TAAGTAAAATATTGTGCATATGTATATGATTCATCAAAGGATTTATTCTTAATGCTTTATATATATTATAAACTTTAATTTTATTTTTTAACTTAGCACTAATTTACAACAAAGGTACATTACAAAAAAAAAAATAGGGCCATTAGATATCCTGTCCAAATTCAATTCATTGTAATCCAAACATGCCATAACAGATAGAGTCTGATTTGATTCTAATTCAATGCTAAAACTTTCAAAATATTGGATCAAAGAGTAAGTATTTATTTAATGATATTCTTTAAATGTCTATCTAAAAATAAGACATATTTATTGTATAAAAACTACGTTTCAATTCCTGCCATAACCGGGATTCGAACCCATGTCAGACAGCGAGCACGGTCTTACTGACAATCAGTGTTCTACACCTATGTGCGGCTGGCCCAGGCAGCTATGCTCACCACTATACCACGATCGCACATATATCCCCCTGTGTGGAGCCTGTGTTCGCTGGAGACTGAGTTCTGACTCACATGAACTAGGACAAGGCACGACAACTTCCATTTCTATCAATTGTATATTTTCTGCCCATATTGTTGTCTCTATTTTTATGAAGTAAAATTAGATTAGAAAACATCTATACTTTTCTGCCACCAAATCACTCAGACCTTATTTAAACATGTTCAAAGAGACTATATTAATTTTGCTTTTAGGAACAAAATTAATATAAGTGTAAAATATATAAAATATGATGATTCTTATCAACCTCTTCATTGTGCCTTCTTACCGCAACGCGGTGTCCATCATCCAGCTGCGCCACTATGCTAATCTGTCCGAGAACCGCACCTGTGACACAGTTTTCCATATGAACTCTTGGTTGTTCATGCTTCTCAATGCGGTTGGAAAGATGCTTCAAGTCGGTTTGTCCTGACTGTGTCCACGTTTAATCACATTTGGCACTTTTAAAAAGAATGCAGGGAACAGAAAAAAACAGAAAAGTGCATTGGCTATTCCACAGCCGGTCAGCCATGTCTTCCGCTCAAACCAACTCTTGCAAAAACTCTTGATTGTAGACTTTATTTGTCTGCTGGTTAATGATATTGTCGGGCTTGTCGGATCCCAGCTCCTTAACCTGGATTTTCTTCTTATCTGTAGTTCTTGCGAACGGGTAGATAACTTAAGTGGAAGTTGCACCTCACTTGTTAAGTTCGCCATCATCCCTCTGGTTGACTGCGCCGCACAAGCGTTTCTTTTTTACCTGCGAGGGGCGATATTTTCAGTGCCCCAAGGCCATGAAATTCTGCGACACTGATTGGCATATATATTCATTCATTTGCCCTAGCAACTGCACACGATTGGCTATTGGACTGCACCGCTGGGGCACTCTGAACAGTGCCCCATGATAGAAATATACAAGTATGTCTGTGGGAAACAGTAGGTGAGAAATGTAGTTTATATATATATATATATATATATATATATATATATTACATTTCCCCCTCTTTTATCAGGGAGGGCGGCGCCCCAGCGCCCCCTATGGGCTGCCACCACTGCTTATTGGCTATATTTCCAAATCATCCCACACTCCTACATGACTTCTTTCCCCCTTTATTATTACCTTGATTAAAATGGTAAATGGCCTGAACTTAGCGCTTTGCCATGTCCCCGGAGACCCCAAAGCGCACTACACTACATTCAGTCATCCACCCATTCATACACACATTCACATGCTGACAGTGGTGAGCTACATTGTAGCCACAGCTGTCTTGGGGCAGACTGACAGAAGTGAGGCGGCCATGCAATCGGTGCCCCTGGGCCTTCTGACCACCGTCAGCAGGCAAGGCGGGTGAAGAGTCTTTGACACAACAACTGAGACAGATGGACCGAGGGTTTGAACTGGCAACCCACCGGTTACACGAAGAATCCTTAACAACCATCAATTTGTGATCCTTACATGTTGCTACAGATACAGTATAGCTAAATAGTACAACCTTTCAACTCTTCTCTGTGGATTTGAAATTGACCTAATTATTTCAGCAGAGATTGGCACACATCTTGGCAATAGATCCACAGGTGCAATAACAGCTGCATTCCACTTAAGCAATGACATGTTTTCTGCTAGTTCATTGTCACTAAACACAACACTAAATGGAACTCATCTATCATCTACTCTGACATAAGATACGGCAAAGAATCAGCTGTGACAAAAGGCCAAGGACCAACTCCAGCTAGACTGAGTCATGGAAATGCCTCCTAACAAGGATTTTAACTCTGTACGAGTCCTGTGTGTGTGGGTGAACAGCTCCAGCAACCGTTTCTAAATGAGGCAACAAATGATGAATGTGCTCTTTAAATGCAGAGCAGGATCATCTTCACTTTACCTCTGATCAATGGTCCACTGTTACAGCAACCCAATAGTGACTGGTTTCCTGTCATAAATTTTACTTACAGTGTTGCAGGAGGTCTTTATTCTGTTATGTCAACAGGTGCTACTGATTCCACATGCCATTCATGTGTACGTTTACAGCTTACCTTCATGTACTCCCAAAAAAAAGAAATTTGCGTTTTCAGACTGAAAGAATATCTTACTAACTGTTGAACCGCTTGATTCACATCAAGGCTAAATCTAAAAGCCCCTATAATTCTATACCAGCTTAATCACTGCAGGGACATAGCAGGCTAAAGCTAATGGGCAAAGGTGGTATAGATGGCCAGTCTATCTGAAATATTGTTCTAAAATGTAGTCTTCTATTCACAATGCTGTAGGTGCAGAAATGTATTAGGTGTTTGTTCAGGAAATCCACTAAGAGATATAGACATAAAGCCTTTATGTTCAACATAGAACCAGAATGATAAACTTTTTGCTATGATTTAGTAGTTTCAAGCAGACTATGCTATAAGGACTGTGCTATAAACTGAGAGCAAAGGTTCGAAGCCCTGTCTGAGGTTTGAACAAGACTTTTCAGCAACAAGATGGTTTTTAGTCAAAGCACCTTAGCTGCAACATGGGGATATTTTAACACCTGTTCCAAGATGATGTTCTGTGAAAGTCAGCTATGACTATATGTCTTAAACAAAACCCCTCATAATGAGACAAGACAGTTAGGAGACAGGGACTTTCTAGCTCCAAATTATTGCAAAACCCATTTTGTCACTTCTCTCTGAAAAAGACTGGAAGCAAACAGGAGTAGGAGCTGTTTGTTCGAAAACACTTTCTCACAATGAGATCTGAATGCTTTATTATCCTATTTTTAACACTAATTAAATTTTTTTCTGTTGTAAATGTTAAGGCAAGGAAACTCTAAAATTATGAACACATTAAAGCTAAACATCATCAGGGGATAAATCCTGGAAAAACTGGAATTTTAAAAATATTTTATAAGTAGCAAAAGACAGTGTAGACAGAATGAATGAAAATCGCACAGAGTACTCCTAGGGTGAAATCTTCCAAACAAACCAATTTCACAGAAATGCAGCTTTAGCATTTACAGATTTATAGAGACTTAAAGAGATCACAAATCATCTTACACATCTGAGGGTGTGTTTTTTCATGTTAGTTTTGTTGAATAGCTGCAGAAAATCTGTAAAGGTAACCTGTGATTTGTTAGGGCGTTTAGTTTCAAGTACTTAATCATATTTCCTTTTTGTTTTAAACCTTCTCATTCTATATTATGTTGTTTCTAACTGTGGGAATGGAGTGGGGAGTTAGTTTTAAATATCTTTACCACAAATTTGCTGATGCAAAGATTGAGTGGTCATGAACACAAGGCAGACTCCAGCTGCCTTAAGCTTAAGGGCAGTTTGCCGGTCTTTCTTCTCCACCTCCTGCTTCTCGGGTTCTTCTTTTTCTTCTCGAATCTCAGCCTTGAACAAGCTGCCCTGAGACAGAGCCTGGACCTTGGCTTCAAAGATGTCTTTGGCCCCCAACACCCCTTCAGTGGAGACGTTTATCTCGAATAGCCTCACAAGAGCCATCAAATCCCTTTTCTCCTGCATGTCTCCGGCTGCAGCTCTGCAGAACATCCTCAAGACCTCTCTAAAGCTCAGTTTGCCATCAAAGTCCTCATCTACTTCTTTGATCATGTTCTTGAGACCCAGATGAGTCTGTGGATCTCCCAACTTCTCCATCACCAGCATTAGCTCCATTAGATCAATGAAGCCATCTTTTCCAGTGCCATAATAACTCAGTGTAAGGGTTGAAGACACGGGTCACTTGAGAAGGAGCATTTCCTATGGGAAGAAACTTGTGCCATCAGAAACTGAATTTGAATTGCTCAGACTGAATTTGTATTTGTGTAATTTGAAATTAAATGCATTGGTTTGAAAAGGAATTTCACAAACTGAAACTGAATTTTATGGTTTGAAACTGAATTCATTTGCTTTTAAAATGTATTTTGTTGTATTAAAAATTCAGTTTGACTACTTTCACTTTCAGGTCTGTAATTCAATTTCAGTTCCAAAATTCNTTTGCTTTTAAAATGTATTTTGTTGTATTAAAAATTCAGTTTGACTACTTTCACTTTCAGGTCTGTAATTCAATTTCAGTTCCATAATTCAGTTTTTTGTGTCACACATCCGGGTCCTTTAGGATAGCCACAGATTAATCAAACACAGATTCATTGATTTACGTTTCACATCAGGTTAAACTTCCTTTGGCATGTTGAGCTGGAGCAGTGCAGCATACATGAGCTTGGCGGATGTCAATCACCAAGTCAAATGAGCATCTATAAGAAGTGTCATGTAAACAAATGATGGTCAAACAGTAATACTTATGCTACCTGTAGCTATTAGCTAAACATGCCAGATTAGCATAGTGTGTTACATCGGTCTGCGTTTCTCTTGCCCTTACCTCAGTGTAACTTCTGTTGCCTAGTGTCGTATTTTTAGAAAGAGTGCGCTGAGTCAAACTGTATCATCGATATTGGTTTATTCAGGATCTCCAAACTTCCAGCATGGGCTTCATCAAACAATCAGCGTCACCTGCCTCCGGAGCCTAACACTTCCCTATGATGTCATCACAGGCGGCCATTTGAGGTTTTAACCATGCGTAACATTAACACCACATCTCCCCTCTCTAGAATCAATGACTGGACTACCATTGATTCAACAGACCTTAGAGGAGTATTCTGCCTCTATAGCCAGAAGGTCTGTTTCTACCTAGAGCTAGAAAAAATACATAAATAGAAATCCATATTTACTCATTCTTAACCTTTTAACATACTATTTACACCCATTATTTTATTTCCCTTAACTACAAATTCAGTCTGCCTGGTTTCACAACCTGTCTCCCAAACCTGGTTCTAGGAGTAGGTGAAAGACCAGGAAGGCTCTGCTGTAAAGACTCTTCAGAACTCGGTTGAACTCGGTATTACACTGAACATTGTTCAGTGTAATACTGGCTTCTTGAATCTTTCCAAGAACGGTATGCAGATGAGCATCATGCTCCTCCTGTGTTCTCCCCCACACTAACACATCATC